GAGCAGAGAGTGTCACTTTCCAGTTATCTGCACAGTCACTACAAGTCAACACTTTGGGAAGCCCTGTATTTTTAAATATATCATCCCTTACCGGCAATACTGAAAGCATTCCATATATATTTTGCCTACAAACAAAGGGGACTTCAAAACATTCTCCTGAAAATGAGTGTTCTTCCCCTCCCTGAGTTTTATACTGAGAATAGTTATTGCCTTAGAAAAACTAAACTGTAGTCTGATGGTCAACTATTTAAGGGGCAAGCACACTTCTGCTGTGCAAGGCTATTTAAATAATAAGTAAATTTCCTCCATCATTACCATTCACTGCTAAAATTAAAAGTGTTTAACACTAAGCAATATACAGTCTGTAAAGCCACACAGGAGTCAAGGAAAGACAAAAACCAGAGACTAAGGCTACAGCCAAGGTCGTGTCTCGTAACATTTCCTTGTGTATACTGACCCCTGGTGGCCCTTACAGGCACTTTTTAATAAAGCGGCTATTTTTTTTTTTTTTTAGTTGTGTCTCTCTAATATAAACATATCACCAATATAGGTACCTAATGAACACGCTTGTCTTTAAAAAAAAGAAAGATGCTTTATAGAATGCGGAAAGGGGGGAAATTATACTCTTTAATTCAAAACAAATGATTATTATGCTATGGCATTTGTACATGTAATGAATATCGACTTTTCTACCTCAGTGCAAAGCACACTAGTTCTCAGGAAAACAGTGGGGAACAAGACCAAAAGGTCACTACCTTTGCCAAGGCCACCAATTAAAAGTAACATGAATGAACCAACGGAAGCACACAGCGCTATGGAAATGTCTGGAGGGGCCAGGCCGTTTTAGAAAATGCAGGCAGATTAAAAGCATGTAGCTAGAACACCAAAGCAAAACACAGCACTCCAGGCTGCTGAGAAAAGGCTCTGAGATGAGTTAGATGATGAGGGTGAGAAACTTAAAGGATAGAATATGTGTAAAGCAGAGAGTTCAAGGGCAAGGGTGGCATGTAACAAGGCTAAAGGGATAGGCAAGAGCCAGATGCTGTGAATGTTTTTAACTTTTTAAGCAGCTAAACTTCTTTATGGGAATCACCTTATTTTCTATCAAAGCAATATGACAGGCCAAGTCTACAAACCACAACAGAAGGAATTCTATAAATCTTTTAAAGTACAATCTCGCATCTTCCACAAGTCTTTCTCCACTTTTCTGTCCCCCTTTCTCTTCCAGTACTTATTCTGTTCACTATTCATTGAACAAATCAATCTCTTGGCACCTGTCACCCCACCAAAACTGTCCTGTGCAGCAGTGGCTTCTGAATGGACCAACAATGAACACCCTGGCCCAAGGGCAGCCCATATGTAGGCCACCAGCCACCAGCAAAGAGGCTTGCTTGTAGGGCTCTGAGAAAGACAGATACTTGGCCAAGCCCACTCAGATTTTGACTGGAGAACACCACAGAGGTTGGCACAGTGAGAGAAGAAAGGACCAGACCACAAAAAACAGAGGGAATATCTGGACCCTAAATCATGGGTGCTCATCCTTACAATAGACCCTCTTTATCACCACAGTGGTCTTAGCACCTCACAAGTCCTCTGCTGGTGCACTGGCTGGTGCTTTTCTATTACCCTTTTGTCATTTAACTTTTATCATTTTATTCATGTCACCACAACAGAAACCTTTGAAAGTACAGGTCACATGTTGAGCATCCTTGTATTCATCACAGCACTGTAAGTCCTCAACACATACTGGGTAGATGGATGGATGGGTGATGGATGGATGGATGGATAGATGGATAACTGATGGATGGATGGACACATGGATAGATGGAAAACTGATGGATGGACAGATGGATAGATGGATGATGGATAGATAAATGATGGAAAGATGGTTGAATGATGGATGGGTGATGGATGAATGATGAATGGATGATGGATAGATGGATGGATGATGTAAGGATGGATGGATGGATGATGGATGAATGATGGATAGATGGATGATGTAAGGATAGATGAATGGATGGCATGATGGATGGATAGATCATGGATGGATGGATGATATATGGATGGATGAATGGATGGGCAGATGGACAAAAATCTGACTCCTGCAGAACATAAGTGGGAACTGTAAATAAGATCTAAGTGCTTAGAACTCATAACATGCTTCCCTCTACCTTCTCTACAAGCTCAAATGTCCACTCCCCAAGGATTCATCACACACTGCTCAAGGCTTCCATACTCCTGCACAGGTCTCTACACTTAACTCATTCCATTTCTCTCCCTCTGTACTGCCACCTGTCCATGAGCCAGCGGTACTCTTCATCTTCACAGAGATACTCAGAAAACATGTGCTGACTAAGGGGACTAGTTCTGCTTTTAGGATTTGATCCAAAAAAAATTTTTTTAACTAAAAAAAAGTTAAAGAATGCTTAATCCCTCAGGTTGGGAAAAGTTCTGGGTCTATAGAACATGCTCATTATATATTCATAGACTTATAAACATTAGTAAGTTTATTGCTCTGCTACAGAGAATTTTAGAATCTTAAAGCAATGAAGTGAATCAAAAGCTGCCATTTGATCTAGTAAACGAAAGATGGAGTGCGAGGGCAAACTCCTGCTTACTAACCATGTGCATTTGGGGAGTTACTCAATGTCATGGGGTTCTGGCTTCTCCTCATGAAATGGGCTTAGTCACATCTACCATGCAGAATTACACAGTGTGCAGAATAAATACGGGAACATATATAAAACCTTATGCTGTGCCTGGCCAGTAGCAAATCTGTGACCTTCCTAAAATTCATTATAATTACCTCGCATTTCAGGGACTAGCTAGGGATGGCCCAGAGTTTACACTGTGAGAGACCCTTGAAGACCAGTACCTCACCCACTGTGAAACAATGCCCCATATCTTCTCTAAACTCACATTTTTCTAACACTTACTCTTATTATAGTTATTATCTCAATGTCACAAATAAGAATAATATTAATAATCAAAGACCTCAGAGGCAAATCCTACAATATGATCTTTTTTTTAAATACAAGATCACATATTTAATATATGCAAGTTCATAAATGTTATTCAACCATATCAACAAAAGCAAAACCAAAGACTATGTAATCCTCCCAATAGATGCAGAAAAAGCATTCAATAAAATCCAACTTCCTTTTCCATGGCTATTAATTACTTTATTCTCTAAAAATACAGGTTGTCCATAAAGTCTGTGTACAATTTAAAGTAGACAACTATGGACACCCTCTAGGAACCTCTTTTATAACATTGCCTCCAATATTCTTTTAAATCACACCATGGCTGGGTGCAGTGGTTCATGCCTATAATCCCAACACTTTGGGAGGCCATACATGAGTGCAGTGGTCGGATCATGTGTCACTGGAACCTCAAATCCCCGGTCTCAAGTGGTTCTCCTCCTCAACCTCCTGAGTTGCTAGGACTGCTGGTGCATACCACCATACCCAGACAATTTTTCTTTGTTTTTTGTAGAGATTGGGTCTTTCTATGCTTCCCAGGGTGGCTTCAGACTCCTGGCCTCAAGTGATTCTCCCACCTCGGCCTCACAAAGTGCTGAGATTATAGGTGTGAACCACTCTACCCAGCAGGAATCACAATTCTAAGATGTGAAACAGCCATATATTTCCATTTGTCTGCTGAGGAGTCTCTTATCAGTAGCACATGTTTAACTGAAGGAAGATTAGACTGAGTCATTAAAATTGCTCATATTTGTCACTTTTGACCTATAAAACCAGCAATTTTACATCAAAAATAATAATCTAGCACTTTTCTCTTAAACTAATCTAATAGATACTGCTTTGAAACTGATCAAGGCGGCTCAGCACCCATAGCTCAGTGGTTAGGGCACCAGCCACATGCACTAGGGCTAGCAGGTTCGAACCTGGCCCAGGCCAGCTAAACAAAAATGACAACTGCAACAAAAAAAATATCTGGGCATCGTGGCAGGCACCTGTAGTCCCAGCTACTTGGGAGGCTTAGGCAAGAGAATCGCTTAAGCCCAAGAGTTTGAGCTGTGAGCTGTGACCCCATGGCACTCTACCAATGGTAACATAGTGAGACTCTGCCTCAAAAAAAAAAGAAACTGATCAAGGGTTTTACTCTGACTTCTGTCTTCTAACCAGGCCCCAGCTTCTAGGTATTTCAACCCTGATGGTGGGGTTATGGGGTCATGGCCGTCAGAGACCCAAGTTCAAATTTGATTTCCTTGCTTTCCAGCTCTAAGCCCTATGGCAAGTCGCAAAGCTACCACTAAATGTCCTACAATGCACAGGACAGAGCCCACAAAAAGGACTTTTATCTAAATTGCCAATAGTGAAAAGCCCTGTTCTGATTAAACTATTTTTTAAAACTCTTACTCATTAATTTATATATATTTCTAATTCCAAAGAAAAACAGGAAAATACTCAACAAATTTTCAAGTGACATGAAGAGACGCAGAGGAGAAAACCTGGGGCATTTTAACATCTCTGCCCTGGCGGATCTCAGAGCTGCACAAGTCAGCAGCAAACACAGGAAGGGGTGGAGGAGCTGGGGAGAAGAGGACAGAGGAACAGCGGCCACATGGCTGCTCCTTAAACCAAGATTAAGTCGTTTAGTCCGCTCGCTCATAAGAAGTGACTTGCATAAAATTTGCCAAATTTACCAAATAACAGCTTATCCTTTAAATGTTCATTACTTAGTTCTAAAATGCTCAATACATGCAGTAAATAAATACATATTTAATCAGTTTTATACTCAAATGCCAAAATGTTTTATTCTTCACACTTATCATAGAAAAAGACAACAATGACTACAACTCTAATATATTATAATGAAGGATAAGCCATTGACCAACATAGCAAATGCAAAACACACCACTTAAATGATCTAGATATGCATGTATTATTTTGTTTCTGTTCATTGAATATATAACTTTGGAGATATTTTCCCAAAATCATTTTAACATTCCCCCCCCAAAAAATAATATTTATACTCACATTCACTTGAACTTGAATGGACCAGTCACCGAGTATTGGATGGGAAGATAATTGAAAAGTTTTGGAAACAACTCCAAGCACACTTTGCTGTGCCAACCACTGTTGGATCAAATTTGACTTGGGGTCCTAAAATGAAAAGCATGCATGTAACTATAAATATAAAGGCTGTCCACACCCGCGTATCCTGTCCAGCTAGGGATGACACCCCGCAGCACTCTCGGACACATCCAGAACCTTCCCCAATATATGGCACAAAGACAGGTTTTGGAAAATGTTAGCTCTACGTTACCAGAGAAAACAAATCAAACTTTCTCCTTTCTTCGTACTCCTCCAGAGGTCATATTCATTCTGCTCCACCTTTTAAATGTGGGCACCATATTTTCTTCTACGTAAAACACATCACCAAACCTGTGGTGGCAGTGGAGGTACTAGTGCTAAAAAGCTCCCCGGTAGCCATAGCAGGCCCATTTATCAAAGGCTTACTATGTGTCAGGGACCCTGTCCTATCACGAATTATACTCCTTTTCCAGAGTCAGGGTATCTTCACTTTATGGTAGAGAGAAAACTCATGCCTCGGGAAGGAAGCATGCAACTCTAAGTGACTGGCATGACCCAGGATTTCAGCATCAAGATGTGATGGGATTCTGCATTCAAACCATGTCTGTCTTTCAACTCAACCATAGTATATCAGAGAGATGTCTACCCAAGGAAATGTATGAAAACCACTTCAGTCTTCTATAATCTCCCCAACAACCATCCCCTCCTGCAACGTTCATCCAAGCCATTCCAGCAGCCCTCCCAGACTCCTCTCTCGCATTCCCAGCTCAGTCACCTCTGCCTCCTTAACATCTCTAATTTGCCTCCTTCTTCCTATCCACACATCCAACCTCCACATCCTACTTTCTATCTAACACAACTAATCTCTCCCCTCCAGTCTTGCCCCCTCCCTGTCATCAGCGTCCTTCATCAGAAACACTCATCTGAGAAGGCGTCACAGTGCCTGAAATGTTTGTCGCAGTTCCTGGCATAGAACAAGCAATGAGTAAGTACTGGCCGGGACCATCACCCTTTGATAAGGTGGCTTCTGTTTGCCTGCAGAATGACTGCCATCCTTTGCCTACTTTATAAGGCCCTTAATAATCTGACCCCATCTACACTGCTAGGCTCACCTTCCTCCAAAGACAGAGATTTATTCTCAGTTCACCCCAAGCCCCTGCATCTAGGCCTCTGTAATAGTTCCATAATTCCCTCCCTTCCCTGGCCAGCCCCCTGCCTTCTAACAGGCAGAGGTGACCAATTCCTGGAGGACCCTTGCACACAGGGTGTGGTTATCCCTCCTGAGTACCTACTACTGCTAACAGTAGTAATGTATGTTCGTTTTACATGTTTTATATTCCAAAAGCATATATTTTTTATTCCCAACTAGACTGAACTTAGAGCAAAATTGAAATTTTTCCCTGGTTCTTATTCTCTAAGCTTTGACTAGAAGTGGAGGTTTGACCCAGCATTTGGTACCCAGCAGAAATCTCTCTCCCAAAGTCGGGGGATGAAAGTTAGGGGTAAACAAAGTGCTGAGAATGGACTGAGAAGCAGTTTGATAAGTCAGAAACAATGTTAGAAACAGAGACCAAAGCAAGTCAAGAACAAGTAGGTCGCTGTACCCTTGGCAAAGTCTCAGACTGGGCACTGTGATCAGCAGCTGTTTCCACCACCCCTGCCAACGTGATGCATAGGAGGGCGGGCTAGAGACTAAAGGCTCGGGATCAAAGGAGGGAACACAAACGGAATGCAAATGACAACAATGGAATATCATTTTTCTTCTGCCAGACTGAGAAAGGTTTCAAAAATACTAATAATAATTGTTGATGTTACCTAAAGACCAGGAAAAAGGAATGTCCCTATTCTACTAATGAATGGCTGTGGTGAGGGAGTACATCTCCCGCAGACAGTGTCACAGAAGTCCCAATTGACCTCACTGATGACTTTGCTCCTGGGTGACCTGGAGGGTTGGGAGTAAATGAGACAGTCCCTCCGGTTTCCCAGGCCTGTCTTGGTCCTAGGAAGACATAGAGAATGTCACCAACCAGGAAGATATAGAGAATGCAGAAACTCTGGGGGTCTACAGAGCACAGCAGGATATGAACGGACCTGGCATGGCCACATCACAGCAGGGCCAGCATTAGTACCCAGCCATCTCCGGCTGGGACGTTCACATGTAGCGTGTGAACGGTGCCTCATCACAGCCAGACGCGCTGCGCACCCAGGACGCTGGAACGTTGGCCTTTGGGTCCCTCCCTCCTTCTCTGTCTTTGGAGGAAGGTGAGCCTAGCAGTGTAGATGGGGTCAGATTATTATTGGGTCTCCTGCTAACAGTAGTAATGTATGTTCATCTTACATGTTTTATTTTCCAAAAGCATATATTTTTTATTCCCAACTAGACTAAACTTAGAGCAAAATTGAAATTTTTCCGTGGTTCTTATTCTCTAAGAACCACACGGTACACACTACCCGTGCCAGACCATCTCACGTAGCAAATTCCCTGGCTGGGCAATCTGTTCACAAGGACCATTTCTGGAGTCCAGGATCAGGCATGTGGGACACGTCGGTCCAGCATGCAGAATTAGAGATGCTGGGTCACTCGAATGCAGCCCCCTCGCCAGGCCGGGGCTCAATTCTGTGGCCACCACTGCTGTGGCCAGAGTGTCAGGGCAGTCACAGGATTTACTCCCAAGCCAGAAACGCTTGTTCCCAAACGAGGCCGTTCACCTGTGCCAGGAGCAACAGCTTCTTAAAGGAGAGGTCACTGTGGAAGCCTGCGACGCCAGCCGCCATCACGGGGTCAGCAGCACTCACCTCCACAATGCCAGACCAAAGTGGCTAGAGGAGGCCAGAATTAGGACAGAGGAAGCACACTTTTTCCACTGCCGAAAGACCTGTGAAGCCCCTTTCCTTCCTGAGGTCAGTTATTGGGACAAGCAAAATTAATAACACCCAATGATTCCTCTCCCCTCAAAAAAATACATACATATATATATATAGAACATCCGTGGATATTCTGCGGCAGACAGTACCTCCATTACACGCCACAACCGATCTTGGCTGGGCAAGGAGGGCCCCCGAGTCCGCTCCCCCATGCACTTCTCCGCAGCAGCCTGCAGGTGGAGCTGCGCCACAGTTTAGTCCCAGTCAGGGGCTCCCATTTCACTAAGTCCCACTTTTTTTTTCTGGGATGTTTTGCCAAGAAACCAATTACTCCACGCTGAAAAGTGTAGGAAATATCACAATCGAGTGGACGCTGGCCCAAATGACCGGTTTTGGCTGTAGGAGTACAACGGTGTAGACATTCACATCAGTGTTCCCATCTGGCCTCTGCCACTTACACGGAGGGGCACGGAGGGGCACGGAGGGGCCCGCAGTCCACACAGGGGCGTCATCCCCCACACACATACAGAGAGAACAGCACGGCTCCACCATTCACCAGTCCCAAACACTGGGGTCCAGGTGGGATTTCAGTCTAAACTCTCTTCCCTTGGCTAAGAGTCCCTCAGTACCATAGCAACCAAGAGGAAGGTCTCAGCCCTCAGCGGGGCACAGGGCTCACCCCTGTAATCCTAGTGCTCTGGGAGGCAGTGGAGGACCCCG